CATTCCGGATGGACACATGCCGAACAGTCGCTCACCGTTTTTGAGCTAATGGCCGGGGCTCGTTTTAGGAAGTTGCTCTCCGTTTGGGCTCACACCTGCCATGCCAAGGAAGACCTTGCCTTCCCGGCTGTGCAAAAGGCTCAGATTCAGCCATGGTGTGAAGCATCTGTCGAGCGCATAAACCTGCTGCTACCGCTTGCCATCACCATTATGTATAATCAGAAAGGCAGGTACCAGGTTGGCATTCTGAGCACTTCCGATCATCAGAAGGGTGAAAGGTTTGTTAGTAACCCTTCTCAATGGCTCCATCCAGCCGGTATGACGGCCGAGGATCGCAAGGAGCTTGCCCAGTTATATAAGCAATTCAGGGCCGCTCATGTTTTTGTGCAAGCTGTTTCTGGTCATTCAGGAGAAGCACCAGCTCCGACTGCAGGCCTAAAGATTGAGAATTGCCAGCTTTCCGATATGCCGGACACGCTGGTTCACATGACAGAGTACCGCCACATCCGTTCGATTCTGCAATATGGCCTCCTTCCTGGAGGCGGCAATGCAGCCGGCAGTAAGCAACGTAACATGAACCACTTTTTGCCGATCGACGGACTTTTGGTCTCTCATGAACACATTCGACCAACGGCCAATGTGGTACTCGTCTTGTCTAAGGCAACGCTGGAAAAGCATCCCGAGCTCGCAGAAGGCTTCAGCCTGAGCAAGAATGGATACTTTTTGACCAAGGCCGTTATTCCGGCCGGTCTTTTCAGCCTTGCGTGGGACGTCCGGAACAATTGCTGTGTGTCAACTAAGCTGTGGGATGTTCCAGATACCACTCCAGCCATGCCAGTCCCCGATGAGCCGTACTTGCGTTTTTATTCTCAGTTCTATTGCGAGGTACTGAGGCTGGTAGGAAAAGGCCACGATAAGTTTAAGATTGAGACCAGGAGGCTTGCGTTTAAGAATATTAAGATTCGCGAGATCGAGGCATGGCGCAATGAGGCCGAGGAGAAACTTGATCGCCATCAGCTCCACGGCACGTCCAAGATCCATGCTGAGACATGGCTGAATTTTCTCTCCCTCGACGACGACTGGAAGGACCAAGCCACCAACATGCGTCGTCTCAAGAAACGCTCATTGTCGGAAACGACTGAGGAAGAGTCGGGAGATGACCTGATTGATGTCGATGATGACGACGACATGGAAGTCGATGCCGACATTCCGGCAGACGACGAAGATGATGATGTTCAGGTCGTAAGTACATTCGACGCAGCCATGGTGGACGATCTCGCAGAAGCACGCCAGAAAGGAACCTGGGTCAAGAAAGGCACTGTGAAGAAGGAAGAGTCCGATATGCCGGACGATTCTTCAGCAGCAGCCTCAGCTTCAACAGCAGTTAAGAAAGAAGAAAAGTCAGGTACAAGGGTCTGGTCCTCCCGAGCAAGGTCACGCACGCCAACTCGCACTGTCCTTAAGAAGGCTGGCCGAGCACCGGGAATGACCCGCGCGCCATCCGGCCTTTGGGTTTCGTTTTCCGATATTCCGGAAACGCAGTACAGCAAGAAGCGTGCGACCTCCCGAGCAAAGGAGGTCATCAGCGACGCCAGAAAGGCACAGAGTACTCCAACAAAGTATTTCCACCGTCCAGAGAAGATGACGCGCCTTGTCTGTTCCAGCGCTGACGTACTTTTCTTCTGCAGAGCATGTAGTCATGGAACATGCCTTGACTGCTATCATGATGTCAGCAACCATTGCTCACGTAACAGCATTTATCTCTGTTCGACAGTCCCAGACGCCGATATTCCGGCACCGCTGGGTGAGCACGAGCGCGAAGAGGTCACAGCAGAAATCGATTTCACGATTCCCTTCGCAGCCGAATCCGAGGGGTGGCACCCGGACGACCGGTATGCCGGTCGATTGCACCGTCTGCAAGAAATCAAAGATCTTGTTCTCGGCGGCGGCTCAACAGGTTATGCAGCGATGGATCGAATTGTCCTTGAAGGAGTCAGCAAGTACCATTACACGAACCATCCAACCTACAGGAGCCGTTCCATTCCCTCGATTGCTCAGCACTGGGGCGAACAGTCCGATGTGGCACCATACCCAATCATTCGGCCAAGCTGCTTTTACGACTCCAATCGCCGATATACCGGCGCGGAGATGCGACAGATTGTCGAGCTAAGCCGTTCGTACATGCAGGGATATCGCGCGAACCAGGGAGACTTTGATCTCGATGAAGCACGACTTCTCCGATCGACTGAACACGTCAGTGTCCTGCTCCTCAACTTCGGCGATATCAACCGTACACCTCACTTCAACGGCAGGCAGCCACTATCCAGGGAGCTCGCTGAGACCGATCAATACGCTGTGCTTCCGCACTACCTTGTCAGGAACACAGCTCATATCACAATCCTTCTTGAAGCCAACGGCATCGAGCGTCATCGAGAGCTCTTTAACCAATATAAATGCTTGAGCGTGTTGGCCCTGGCGGATGGAGAATCTCCTGCTATCGCAGCAATTTGTTCCAGTGATCCACTTGGCACTTCGAGGCTGGAACTCATCCGCCGGATTGAGCTTGAAGGCGAACGCTTAGCCTGGGTAGCCCATGCCGCGACATTCCGCGTGATCTGGGGAAAGGTCGAAGAAGCCACAGATGGAGGCATCACCGATGACCGTGGCGTCCGAAAGAACCTCCGAGTTGCCCTTGAAGAAGGCGCTGATCCAGCAGATAACATGGAGGTACAAGTCTGCCCTGACACCTTAGCTGTAGCACAGGCATCCACCACTTACACTGAAGCCGAACCAGTGGATGCAGAGGCATTGTTCCACGAGTGTCCGACATTCCGGACCGGGAGCCTGAATGACTGCAAGCGCATGCATATGCCTGAACTTCGAGTTTGCGCTTTTCACATCAATGCCCATGCCTTTCAGTCAGGTATTACGGCCGGTAAGAACGCCATCATGAAGATTTTGATCACGGCCGTGGCAGACCAGGTGGACGTCATCGCGTGCGATGCTAACCAGTTCACGAACCGCAACTTCCGGGGCGATCGACATGCCGATCCAGGAACCGGAGCAGTCCTCACAATCCTTGACCAGATCCTTGTTTCTGTGAACAAGAAGCGTGAGCCGAGCAAGCGCATCACCTATAACTGGGAGGTCTCAACCCTCGCCAGCGAGCAGCTCGCCGCTTTGGAAGGTCTGGATGCCGATTGCGACTGCCTGTTGCAGATCGCCTTAAATTACGGCAAGGACATGCATACGTTGCGGTCAAGGACATCCGATATTCCGGATGATCGTGGACGTGTCGAATATGAGGAGCCTCCACGCCAGAAAGAGACTACCATTAAGGTCAACGAACTCCTCAAGCACTTGAACCATCTTGATCTGTGTCTGAAGAGCAGCGATTTGGGTTACCACCATCCATTTCAGTGCAATTTTTCACTTGCCAGCCGACACAAGATCAGAGTTCGTGGCCAGCAATCCGCCGAGAAACGTGGCGAGAAGAATGCCGAGCGACTTGAAATGTTGAAGGAACGATCTCGGCAGAATAAACAAGCTCGCCAAGCTGGCTGGCACCAGCCCTGGTCCTCGGGAGCGTCAAGCTCATGGTGGTATACCGGTTCATCTTCTTCATCTTGGAACACCGGTTACCGAGGCTACAGGGACTGGTAGGTAGTCTCTGCTCTAAGAAGCCGATATGCCGGCTAGAGCTCAGCCAAGGCAGTAGTCTTTGAAAAGCCGATATTCCGGCCGACTACGGTTAAATGCCACAAAGCTAAATGCAGTTTAAGTGACCCAGATATATCTAAACTAAAGGCCTTATAGATTTGACTTTAACTTGATGATTTGACTTGAAAAAGAAAATTTCCGACATTCCGGAACGTTCGATGCAACAAGTATGCCTTTCGTAGATTTGTAGAGATTATCTGACGCAACCTAGATGAGCCAGAATGGCATCTACGGTCTAGTTCTGCGAAGACAGAACTTTTGTAATTCATTTGCAATCTTTTGCGAACCCTTTGTACTTTAGCGATCGTAAGCTTCGACACGAAGAAAATTTGTGTCTGTTTTGTGTTTAGTAGGGTCCTAGGTCCCCCTAGGCGTGTCTACGCTATACGTGTGTAGCATCTGTTCTTGTACATATCCTAGTTAGCAGCTCTTCAGTCCGCTTTCGACTTAAGTCATTTGGCTCAAGACTTCGTAGCCCAATACCTGCATCCGCAGCCATAGAAAAGGTGTGCGTCGCTGCCGCTCGCACACCAAACGCACTTGTGTGACTTCACTTGGTGTTTCGATCAGGTCCAGTTAACCAACTGCCACTTCTGGGGGGACTTACCCCTCACCCCCCCCCCGCCAGCAAACGAAGATGTCGGGGACCATTTCTCCGAGAGATAGGCTGCAGCTCTGGGTTAATACATTTTTGCTAAAGCAAAAGGAAAACTCAGGTAGCGTAACCGCTACCTTTCGTGATTATGCAAACAAGCATTAAGATAACATGTTCTGAATGATTGGGCCCGGTGACAGAACAAAGTGCCAAATAGCTAGCAGCTAGACACAAGCTAAACACCAAAGATACCGACGCGTGCTGCTAGCTTTACAATCTGCAAAGCCGCAGCTCAAAACAAATGTGCAGCATCGCTTTCCATATTCAAGAGGAAATCACCCTGCCATCAAGTATGTGTGAATAACTTTTAACATTTTATAAAAGGGCAAAGTCTAAACATAATATATATATATATACTGTATATATATTAAGTACGGTCAACATGTATTATAGTTGCATCCTCAGATTTGTGAGTCCCCTATCGTTTTTCATTGTTTTGGAACCTTGTTACTGTAAGGGTATCGTTTTTCTGTGAGTCCCCTACCGTTTCGCAGGGTTTGGAGCGCTCTTGTGCAATCGTAATCATCGCAAGTGCTGAAGGCGCTTCATATACATATACAGTACATATTAGACTCGGGTATCATCTCGCCTAAACTCGCATGCTGATATGTTCCATCCAAGTAGCACCACCGGAGACATCAGTGTTGTAGCTGTTGGTGTGGTGATAGTAGCTGGGGCCCTCATGGGTCGTCACATGAGTGACCACTGTCTTCGACAGCTGCCCGGAGTGGGAACCTGCCAAAGGGGATGGGCTCATTCGATCAAATCAATGGATGTGAATTTGTACAAAGCACTTAAGATGTACATCATCTTACCCACAAAGCCTGGGCAGCCACGCTGCTCATGGGCACAGCACCAACTTTTTTTGCCAGATGACCATCCAGACATCCTGAGATCAAACTCGGCTCATGAGATCCAATCGGGGAATCGTCTTCAAACCTGCTACTCCTCACGACAGCTCCTTTTCTTCAGACAAAGCTCCAGTTGCTGTAGCCAGCACTGCAGTCATAGACGTGCTGGACTTGCACGTGCCTGGTCTTGTAGAGCACCTGGTTAGGAGAAACGTGCGGATCATGTGTCACAGCCCACAACCTTCCCACCCTCTGTTCTTCTGTTCCCTCTCGCTTGGACTGAAAGTGCCCACTTCGACCAAGCGCAGGAAGCTCAGCAAGTGCCCACCGGCAACGTCCCCACCTTGTTCTTCACAACGGTCTGGGGCGGCAAAGGGACCGGGACGTGGATCACCTCCAGGCAGTATGAATTTAAACTAAGAAGAGAGGGGTGCCAAGACATCAGCATCAGGTGTCCACCAGAATCCATGTCACGTCTTCTTTTCAATGGGTCTTTCAGCTTCAGTACCTTCCGAAGACCAAACTTCAATATCAGTATCTCCAAGCAATTCCTTTGTCTCTCCAAACGTACCGATCCTTGTACGACCCAAACACCGTGGCTCGTGTGCCTTTCCGGCACCCAAGTACTATATTCACTATATATATAATATAAAGCCGTATCAATGGAAAAGAACTTCTCCCGCACCTTTCCAGGATCTGTCACCTTCACTGGCACCGGGACGTTGTGATACTGAGGTGGGCTTGGCTCCGGCACAGGCACGTAGTGCTTCTGATGCACATACTTGGGGACCTGCAATGGCTGTCACTATATTGTACTGAATCCAAAATGAGGACTCCAAATGAGTGACCCGCAAAATCCCCGCGAAAGAAGAGGTTCATGGTCCAAGGTGCAATGTGAGGCGCTCCAGGTGTTGGCACCCTGATGACTCGTGGTGCGTCCTGAGATGTGTGTGGGTGTGTATCATGTTTTCTCCAGGTGACTCTTTTTGTGGTCTGTCTTTTCTTCTTCTTCTTCTTCTTCTTCTTCTTCTTCTTCTTCTTCTTCTTC